CTTTTGTCTGCCCATGAATTGTGCAGCAGAGCAATCCACTAACACTTCCTGTACAGTGCAGGGAATGTGGTACCGTGCCTGCCCACAGTATAGCATCAGGCCCAACCCACATGCCTCTCACCTGCCAGAGAGGGACACTGGTGGTCATGGCTTCCATGGACAGGAGACTGCCAGGTAGGTTGCCACTCCCATGGCTTCCAAAGCCATCGCAGTGTGTGTCTAGCCATGAGGCACATTAACATTTAGCAAAGCTTTCATCTAGATTCCACACAAATACTTTGCTGAATGTTTATGTGTATTGACTTAATTCACACTTTTAGCCAGACCCCCGCTCTCCACAAGCAGGACCCCAACTGACACCAATACACCTCAGCACATTTCTGCCCTAGCTGACACTGCACACTTCTGCACTCGCAGACAACACACTGCGCACACGTCTGTTCTCACCAAATCTGCACTAACGCTCACTTCTGCATTCGCCGACACCACACCTCCACACATTTCTGACTGACCGACGCTGCACCTCTGTGCACTTCAGCATTCACCGACACCGCACCTGCAAGCACCTCTGCATTCACCGACACCACACCTCCACACATTTCTGACTGACCTGCGCTGCACCTCTGTGCACTTCTGCATTCAACGACACCGCACCTCTGCATTAACAGACACCACACCTTCACACATTTCTGACTGACCTACGCTGCACCTCTGTGCACTTCTGCATTCCCCGACACCACAGCTCCACACATTTCTGTCTGACCTACGCTGCACCTCTGTGCACTTCTGCATTCCCCGACACCACAGCTCCACACATTTCTGTCTGACCTACGCTGCACCTCTGTGCACTTCTGCATTCACCGACACCACACCTTCACACATTTCTGTCTGACCTACGCTGCACCTCTGTGCACTTCTGCATTCACCGACACCACACCTTCACACATTTCTGTCTGACCTATGCTGCACCTCTGTTCGCTTCTGCACTCACCGACACCGCACCCCCACACATTTCTGACTAACCGACACTGCACCTCTGGGCACTTCTGCATTCACTGACACCCCCACACATTCTTGACTAGCCGAGCAAACATTTCTGCACTAGCAGACAGGGCAATGATGTACTCTTTTTTTCATCCGCTGACACCACACAGACGCGCACTTCTCAACTAACCAACACTGAAACAACGCACACTTTTACACTTGCCAGCGCAGCAAGAATATGCACTTGGCTATACCAAACTAGAATGCACTTGTGCAGTCACTGATGCTCACTTCTGTACTCACCAACACCGCACTAACATGTACTTGCTAACAGCACTCCTATGAATTTCTGCATTAGCCAAAGCTCTGCCGCTACACATCATTTTGCATTTGCCTACACAACAAAAACACAGTTTTCTTCCCACATTGACACCACTCCAACATGCACCTCTGCATTCACCGACACCACACCTCCACTCACCAATACTGCAATGATGTACACTTTTGCACATGCAGGCTCCACAATGATATGCTCTCTTTTCAGCATACGTCCACATTTAACAGCATTTTGCAAAATCATGCTTTGCTGCACGCAGCACTTTTAAACTCACTGACACCAAAGCAATGTACACTTTGGCATTCGCCAACATTGCAGTGATGGCCACTCTTCCACTCGCCAACAGTGCAATAACACACACTTATGAGTTGCTGACACCTCACCAACCCACTCCTATATTCAGCCTGTTCAACAGGCACACTTTAGCTAGTGATGTAAAGCATATACAGTAGTACCTCGGTTCACGAACTTAATTCATTCCATAATTCTGGTTCGCGAACCGAATCAAACTGTATCAGACCGCGATCTCAAGTAGAGGAAGCCACGACCATTGTCAGAGAAGGGAAGATAGCTGCGGTTGTGTTCGTAACCCGATGTGAAGTTTGCGAACAGAAGCAACATTTTTCCGAATTCCCTGTTTGCGAGCAGAAGCGTTCGTGAAACGAGGTACCACTGTATGAGAAGTCAGTGATCAGGAATACAGCTCTGTGTAAAAAAAGTATAAAAAAGGTACCACACTGCTGTCAAGACCCAATTTGTTTATATCCTGCAAGGTATGCAAATGGGTTACACAATAATGGGTATGCCGCTAGGGAAGTCTGAAATGGAAAGATTTGGGGGTCACTGTAGACCATAAACTCAATAATAGATTACAGTGCCAGGTTGCGGTAAGCAAAGCTAGTAGAGTCCTGTCCTGCATCAAGAAGGGAATGTTTTGCAGGGATAAGTCTATAATATTGCCACTCTACACATCACTGGTTCGGCCTCACCTGGAGTATGCGGTGCAGTTTTGGGCACCGGTACACAGAGGGGATGTCCTTGAACTCGAGAAAGTCCAGCGAAGGGCGACCAAACTCATCAAAGGGATGGAGGACAAGAGCTATGAGACACGGTTACTAAATTTAAATATGTTCACGCTGGAACTTAGGAGATTAAGGGGGGACATGATTTTCACATACAAAATGTTCCATAGTCATAGCAACATTAGCAATAAACTCTTCACGATAAATTCCGTAACAAAGACTAGAGGACACCACCTAAAACTGGTAGAAAAATAATTCAAACACAAGGGGCGAAGGGGATTCTTCTCAGTTCGCGCGGTTAGGGTCTGGAACTCACTGCCGCAAGCAGCGATTTCAGCTAATAGTCTGGAATCATTCAAGAGGCTTTTGGACGATTTCCTGAGAAACGGTAATATACAGGGGGTACAAGTACTCCTAAAAACGAGATGACGCGAGGATCTTTACACCCACACACACACACACACAATAGGTTGGACTTGATGGACATATGTCTTTATTCAACCTCAAATACTATGTAACTATGTAACTATGTAACTATGTAATTGGTAGGAAAACAGCAGCATGTAAAAATACAAACAGGCCAATGAATCTGTAAACAACACAACCTTCTAAAAGACAAACTTTACATTAAAAAAACACATTGAATGATACTAAAGATAGCAGTGGGAAATGACTAACTGTAACTAGAGCTGTGATAGTCATTGCTTGATATCTTTATGGTTCACAGCATAGTCACTGATGGCACTATATAAAATAATTAGGGCTGTGGAAATTTAGGGCTGCAACAACTAATCGACATAATCGATTATAATCGATTATTGAAAAAGTTGTCAACTTTTTCAATAATCGATTAATCGGCTTCTGATCAGTTGGCCCTGTTCACGGCTCCACACACGCTGCGCGCCCCACCTCCTCCCCAACTCACACTCAACGCTGCCAGACCCGCATCCACGCTTTACACGCCGCACCTCCTTCCCGCCTCACACTCACCGCCCGCCCACATTCTCCATCGGCACAGGGACGCGGGGAGATGTAGTAAGGAGCAGGTGTGGGGGGATGACAGCGGCAGATTGACAGGCCCGATCTCAGAAGCAAGTTGCTGGAAGACTGCTCAGGTATAAGCCTGCACTTTCCCACACGTGGTGCTCTATAATGTATTGCTGGGATTTTTATTCCTCTATAGCTGATGGTACA